TTGAAACTACCAATGCTAGAACCCGCAACCGTTTGGTAAGAAGTTCAACGCCATAGCGCTTGGGCCAGGGAATGGTACCCCTGTCCGGTGCAACAGGACTGACTGTAAGTTGGGGCGAACAACATCATGTACCTATCCAAACCTCGTGGACAGTCACATTGATTTCTTGATAGATGGTTTTCACCATAAACAAGAAGATGCCAAGTAGGCGTCACTAGAGCGTTAGCAGTAAATCATAAGCGCACCTCGATAATTCATCTTCCAAGCGATGTGGCCAATGAATTCAACTTTCGAGTAGCAGGAGACATTGAATTATTGTGTTGTTGCAAAGCATGAGAGGTCTACCGTCGATTCCGACTCTGTTCATCCTGTGTTCCACAGAGAATTAATGCACAGACAAATTCTGTGTGCTTTGATATCTTGTAAATGTTAGTGGGCTTGTGTTGCATCTTACACACTTTGCTCTTCCTCGGTGTAAAGAAAGAATCAAAGAAACCAGGACCGGCTAAGGCGGAGTTGGATTGACATAAAGGTGAGTATTGCCTAAGGCTGCACATATTTGGCCCACCAAAGCCCTCGCCTACGTTCGGCATTCGCCGTGGATAGGCCCATCATGCTCTGTCCTATCCGCCGTATTCGCCCAGCAAATGCACCATGTAACATGGCTAAGAAGCAGAAGGAAAAGACAATTGCACCTGCACTGATAAATTTTCGAATTCCGAATGCAACAGATTAGCCGTAATTCACAGTTTGCGATGTTTATTGCTTAACAGTACTATCGAGAGTTTTGATTCAGTACCACATGTGTGAAGATGTGCGTATGACAATGATGCCAACTCCATCAACTTGATCGGCGACGTCTCTGATTAATTTAAGGAAATCCAATCTTATTTTAGTGGTTTTGACATACTCGTCACGCGGAATCAAAAGCTATGGAAAAAAGGCTCCAAACATTGAAAATGGTGAAGTAGAAGACAACTCGATCGCTGGAACACTATGTTTATTTGCCTGACGTTTTGAAATCCGTTGCGGATTCATCTTCAGAGAAATACTCACAGAACCGTAGCAGAAACGTTTTTTGTGTCCACAGGGTTCCACCGTAAAATGTAAACTACGGAAAAAATCGATAAGTGCGCTGGACGTGTTCTGATTCGTCGCGTCAGCCATGACCATCCGGCCTTGCGGTGTTGGCAACTACATCATCTTATGCCAACACCGCAAGGCCGGATGGTCATGGCTGACGCGACGAATCAGAACACGTCCAGCGCACTTATCGATTTTTTCCGTAGTTTACATTTTACGGTGAAACCCTGTGGACACAAAAAACGTTTCCGCTACAGTTCTGTGAGTATTTCTCTGAAGATGAATCCGCGACAGATTTGGAAACGTCAGGCAAATAAACATAGTGTCCCAGCGATCGAGTTGTCTTCTACT